AGTGAAAAGACCTTTAGATATGGTATCTCTCACATAGGCTGAGTGAACATAGCCTACTTAGAACCTCAAAAAGTGAAAAGACCTTTAGATATGGTATCTCTCACATAGGCTGAGTGAACATAGCCTGCTCAGAACCTCAAAAAGAACTAGTTTTCTGCTATGTCTTTGCTGTTCCCATCACTCATCTGGGCAACAGCCCTCCCTTCACCTGGGAGCATATAATTTTATGATAAATATAAAAGTGTGTCTGTGCACACATATGCTAAAGATCTATACAGTATTTTGAGTTTTAAATGTTGACCATATACACTAAATGGTTCATGTGACATCTGGAGTATTGTGTTCAGTTTTACATCATGTTTTAGGAGTGTGGAGGCAAAAAAGAGAAGGGTCTTGTATCTTTCCTCTCCAGGCATGATGAGTCTATCTTTATACTAGCTTCCATTTCAGTAAGAAATGAGTAGTCATGTCACCCCACATTTTATTTGCATTTCTGCTCTACCCTAGTTCTCCTGCTATGATAACCATGTTACCCCCCCCCCCCAAAAAAAAGTTGTCTTGCTCTATTCCCCCAAAGGCTAGGAACAAAAAAATATGGCTCTGCCCTACCTCCAAGGTCAGGTGCAAACTCCCATCCTCCACTTTTCTACTTTTTAATTCACTCTCTCTCTCTCTTTCTCTCTCACACTCTCTCTCACTCTCCCTCCCTTGTATATAGATGTTTTAGTGAACATACATATAATACATGAAATTATTTTAATTCAGAGAGCACACTTGACTAATAGCAGACTGTTATTAATTCATTTCTCTTTGCAATGTCTTATAATGACAATAAAGTCTCTGTACCATATCTCATACTTTAAATTTGGGATCTATGGTCTTTTTGCCATGATAGGAAGGACTTTCACAATCTGAAGCGTGCCTAGAAGAAATCAACAATGATAATGATGGGAACTAAAATTATGTTTTATGTTTTATGTTATGTTATGTTATGTTTTATAAGGATCAGTTGGAGGAAATGAGAATATTAAACTTGGAGAAGAGAAATCTTAGAGAGAACAAGATCAGCTTTGAAATAACTGAAGGGTTACCATGTGGAAGAGAGATTAGATTTATTCTGTTTGGCTAGTTCTTAGACAGAGATGTGCCTCAACAAAAGAAAGGAATTCCTAACAATGAGAGTTGCCCCAAAATGAGAAGGGTTGGTCTAGAAGGTAGTGGATTTTCTATCACTAGAGATATTCAAGTAAAAGTTGGGTGATCTCTTAGCAGAGATATTGTAGGGGGGAATTATTGCATTTATAGGTGGTTGGAATGGATACAAAGTCCCTTATAACTTCTAGGATTCTAAGTTATCAGCTCCTAGAACATCTGGACCAGATCTCTGTAGAATATAGAAAAGAGAACTCAGTATATTCTTTAAAGAGTCACAAGGCTGCCACATGGCTTCCTTTAATATCACGTCAGTCACTTTCTTTGTCTCTTTCCACACTGTGAAGATCAAACTATCTCTCAAGGTTAATTGAGGAGACTAGCAGGTGTTTGCCAGTAGAGAAGAAATAACTTGCTCCATTAAGGTGAAGGCTATCATACAAAGTGTTCACTAGCAGAACTCACCAAACAAACACACTATTTTCTCAGGTAGGAGCTTGATACAGGAAAGTACAAGGACAGATAATATATATAATCAAGAAATGGGAAAGCTAAGGCTCTCTACTAGTAGGCTCTGTACAAGTTCTGAGACTCTTCATTAAAATGAAGAACCTTTGTTCAAATGAAATAGAATATGAAAATATTCATAGCAGCTTTTTTGTGTGGTGGCAAAGAGCCTGAAAACAAAGGCATCAAGGAAAATGGCAATAAATTGCAGTATATGAGTGTAATATTGTGCCATGAATACTATTGTCTGTAAAAATAATAAAAGGAATGGTTTCAGAGAAACCTGGGAAGATTTGTATGAATTATCATGGAGTGAAGTGAACAGAACCAAGAGAATAATTTCTACAATAATAACAATCTAAAGACAAACAACTTCAAAAGACTTAAGAACTTTTATCAATGCAATGACCGGGCATGATTGGAAAACCAACAATGAAACATTTCACTCCACCTCCTAATGGAGAGGTGATGGACCTGGGTGCTTTGCTTTTAGGATATGACCAATGATTTTTTTTTTGTTGACTATGCATATTTTTCACAAAGGTTTTCTTTTTCTTTTTCCAATGGATGAGATAGAGGAAGAGAAAAATAAATTTTTGTTTACTAAAAAAAAAAACACCATAAAATTAAATTTGAAAATAAAAATGACAAAGGAAATAGAAAATACAATAATAATTATGACATTTTCATGGAAGTCCTACTCTGATGTATCATCATGGTATGGAGGGAATCCTGACTTCCTACAGACTGTGCAAAAAGAATACAAATCCTGGTAGGTCAGCCAGGCAGAAAACCCTCCCAATTCTGGCCCCAGAACTAATATAGATCTGTTGTCTGAAGATCAGCTTTGATAAGGGTGGATAGGCTTATCTCCAGAAAGTATAATATAAAGAAGGTTGGCTTCCAGCTGATGCATTTCTTTGACTACAGCAACTCAAAAAGCATAGAGATGTTGTGTTTTTCATTGGTAGAGAGAGTACCCATACTGATGAAATTATAGATCACTGAAGTATTAAAGAATAACAATGAAAATAAGGATGATCTTTTATTGCAAAAGTCCTCAGAATGGGAATCAAGAAATAGGGTCTAGTTCTGACTTGGCCACTACTTAGCTATGTACCTTGAGCAAATCATTTCATGGGAACATAGCACCTTTGAATGAGCCTTGGAAAGGATTTTAAAGACCATCTTGCCCAACAGCTGAGGAAACTGAAGGCCAGAGAAGTTAAGTGACTTGCTCAAGGTCACAAAGGTAGTAGATAGCAGAAGTGGGATTTGAACTCATGTCCTTTGACTTCAAATTCATTCATTGCTCTTTTTACTCTACTACATGTTACACTAAATGATCTCTCAAAATTTTTCTTCAACTTTAAAATTCTACAATTCCTAGCCAATGTACATTAAAGCATTTATTCACTAATCCAAAAAATATTTAGGGGCAGCACTACATAGAGTAAAGAACATTGGATTTAGACTTAGGAGGCTTGAGTTTGAGTCTATTGATTGCTATTGATGAGCTATATGACTTTAGGAAAGTCACTTAATGTCTCTAACCTTCAGTTTCCTCATCTATAAAATGGCGACCACATTAGATACTTACCCTAACTATCTCACAATGAAGCCTTACTGACTCAGCGTGATTGTGTATGCAAAGTACTATCATTAAAATGTTGGTGTGATTGGAAAGGGAAGAGAAAGAGAAGTTACTATTTCCAGTTTGTCAGTAAAAATTCAGCCACAAGGATGTTACACTAATTGACTAGAAATCCAATTTCTTCTCCACTTTCTAGTCTATTGTTCTGTCCACTAGATCAGAATTCCTCTGCTTAAATCAGTTAAAGCCAGCCAAGATCTAACACATCCCAAAGAGCTTCTTGTTCCAGCAGGCAGACTGAATAGGGTTTGAGAAGCCCTCTTGGTACTTTGAAATTTCTGATTTTGTATCAGTCATACAGAAAAGAAGAAAAGACCTTGCTCCAGGCATTTGGAAGAAAGAGTATTTTAAACTAGATCTAAACCCCAAGAAAGCTTCTTTGAAAAAAGCCTTGTGGGGAAAAAAGTAGGAGCAATACACAACCACTGTTCGTCATTTCTTACAATATAGCAATGCCATGAACTGTAAGAGACTAATGAAAGCCTGTCTCCACTCAATCTGATACCCAAAACAACTTAAAAGTAGTCCTGCTGTATTTATTGTAGTTGTTCATTTCAGTTGCAATATTGAAAAGTTGTCAGAAATCAGTATCTGGAAATATTAAAGAAGGCAAACTGTGTATCGATTCTAGAATCTGAACTAGGGTTAGGGAGATCACTGTTTTGTAAATTCAGTTGGAATGGCATTTTGCTAGCAATTTAAATAACATTTTGTTAAAGAAATCAACAGGCATTTATTAAGTGCCTGCTTTGTGCTGGGCACTGCGTTTGGTGCTAGGGATAATAACAACAAAAGTTAAATGGTTCCTAAATTCAAGGACTTTATATTCCATTAGGGGAAGCAATACAAACACACACACACACACACACAAGTGTGTGTGTATGTGTATATACAAATGTGATACAAAGTAAAACCCAAGGTGATTTTAGGTGGTAAGGGTAGCATATGAACATGGAGCAATCAGGAAAAGCTTCATGTAGGAAATGGCATTTGACCCCACTAAAGTAGAGAACAGCTGTCCAAAAGAAACAGAAAGTATTGATAATAATGAGACTCTTTCACAAAAGTTCAACCAGGGTGCTATATTATAGCATGGAGATGGTCCTTAGACCATTCTTAGATCTCTAAGGTCCCTTCCAGCCCTAAATCTATACGATGTGATAGACTTGTATAATTCTGCACTGCTACTTTTACTAACAATAATGCGTCATACTCCCCAGACTCTGACATCCCCTTCTGCCATCTTTGCTAACTGCTGCTCTCTTTGCAATTGAAATATCCTCTCATCTGAACTCCTCCTCTTCTACCCTCATGGCATTCTTGACCTTGGAGTCACAAGACCTCATCTAACTAAGTCTTACAAAGCTTCAGACTATTTGGAAATACCCCTTTAGTCAGCCATGTCACTCTGATGAGAACATGCTTAACATGGTTCTGATGACTACTTACCAGCTGTCGTATATATTCCTGGATCGAATTTGGATAAGCAAGCACACTGATCGCCACCAGCGAGTTGAGGGCAAAATCAAAAATCTGGTAGCAGAAGAATGGAATGATCCAGGCAGCATGTTGCTATGTACAACAGAAAAGGAACAAAGTATTAAAACAGACTCATCACGACCAAAAAAAAATACATATTATATATATATGAAATGTATATATGTATATACATATGTATATATATATACACACACACATATATTTCTAGGCTGTTTTTATCATATCCTTCAAGAAAGTCATTTGTTTATTGCTAGATAAACTAGCACCAGACAGATTTCTACCACTGGATAGATATCTAGCACAAACTAGCCCTGGAAATATTCCAGGTCTCTAAAAGAGGATTATTCTAATTGAATGAGGCAGCTAAGTAGCAGGGGACTGAGGGCTGGACACGCAGTCAGGAACACCTGAAATAAAATTCTGCCTCATACATTATTAGCTGTGTGACCCTGGACAAGTCATCTAACCTCTCTGGCCTCAGTTTCCTCATCTGTAAAATGAGGGGTTGGACTCAATGACATCTAAAATTCCTTCCATTTCTAAATCAATGACCCTGTGACCTCTCCCCAGCATTCTAGATAGATGTTAAATCTTCAACAATTCTTGAAGAAAACAGAAAAAAAATTACTTCCAAGGGTTATTCTACACAGTTGGGAAAATTCTTTGGAAAGAGACAGTGCAGATTAGCTCAGAGGTGTCAAAGTTGGGGCGTTGGCCAAAAGCAGCCCCCAAAACTGCCAGAACCAGAGTAAAATGTATTTGTGAAATATTTACCTAAGTAAATAAAAAATATAACACAACATAGATGATGTTGATTTGTGGTTTTCTAAGTCAATATATGGCCTGAAGGGATCTGTTTCTATTTGAATTTGATGCCACTGGTCTAGGAAAAAGACAGCCAGCTGGTCTTGAAACCAGGAAGACTTGGGTTCTAGAGCCATCTCTGAAACACACTGCTGTGGGACCTCAGGCAGGTCATTGAATGTCTCAGCATCTCCTCGGAAGCTCTAAGGTTGTAAATCACTGCTGATCTGCCTCACAGAATGGGATTTTCTCATTGAGAGCCAGCTCCTAGAGTTGTTTACCTTGTATGCGCCATAGGTTGCCATCGCACAGATCAAGATCATGAGAATGGAGATTGCGGTTGCGATGCACATATCTGCCAAAAGGAGAAGAATGCAAACGGTCAATTCAATTCAAGAAACATTCAACACCCAATGTTTGCAGAGGGATCAGAGTCCAATCCATTGTTTGAATATTTTGCCAACTTCCTCCCCTAGGTATTTTGCTTATGATGATTTAAAAGACAAATTAACTGGCTGTGGGCTACAAAAGATATTCGTGTTCTCTCCAATACAATTAAACTTAGAACCATAAACTTATGAAGGGAGAATACTGAAGGGAATACTCCCTTTTCTCTGTTCTCCAACACAAATGGAGTTTAAACATGATTAATCAAAACCCTCAAAAAACTGGAATTTTACATTTTTTAATGAAAAAGATGACAAGAAAAATTAAATAATATCAGAGATTAAATTTTGAAAAGCACACCACAGTCTAGGATTGAAGGAAAAAACCTCTTCAAACATTTACTAAACAACTAAAATGTGCTAAGCCTAGGAAAACAAAGACTTTTATAGAGAAAGAGTTATGTTTCAGTGTTAAATTCAGCCTACTCTGTTAAACCTTCTATCTACTACTATACAATGATCCCCAAGTTCAGAACATTCAGTCTGACCACTAAAACATTTTAAAAAATATATATTCCAAGCATGAAACTATGTCTTAAAATAAAAGGATTCAATTAGGTTCATTTTTTTCTAAAATATTAGTCTATTTCTTACTATTTTCTGCAATCCATTCTCCATACAGTAATAAAATTCCTAAAGTATCACTTTAAAAGTCCTTTAAAAGAGGAAAAAATTTTACAAAACTTTACAAAATTCCTTAAAAGCCTGCATAAAATTCCGAAAATCATTATAGCCTTGTCACTCTCTGCTCCTCAAAAACCTTCAATGACTCCCCATTGCTCACCGAATAAGCTATAAATTTCTGACTCTGGTTTTTAAAACCCTTCACGTTCTGGCTCTAGCCTACTTTACCAGCTATATATCATACTGCTCCCCTTCATGCATTCTATATTCTGACCAAATTATAGGATACAGTCTATTCCCTATTCTCATACTGCCTACCCATTTCTATGTCTGCTTATGCCAACCCCCCCCCATCCCAGGAATGTTCTCCCCTAAAACACAGCTCTGTTTAAATTCCTCCTTTCCTTCAAGGTCAAATTTAGATACTAGCCCCTCTAGGAATAATTTTCTGACCCTCCCCAGGGGAAATCTCCCTCCCCTCCTTAAACTTCCTGTGTATTTATACTTTTATCTCACCCACTTATTTCATTGTTATTTGTGTACTTGTCTTTTACTCTATCAAAGTATGTAATCTTTGTTAGAGTTGAGCTTATACTTTCATATCCACAGTGCCTAGCACACAGTGCTTTGTACAGAGTAGGAAGCTTAAGTAATGTTTGTTGAATTGAATTAAGACAATATTGGAAGGGGTGGGGGAAAGTTTGACAACTGGAGAGTTTCAGGATGTATTGTGAAATACCCTAAGACTATTCACATAAGACCTAAGACTACTATCTCCTGGTTAAAGTTTAGCTGGACGGTGATAGGATGCCAATATACAAATGCTTGTTTCCTTCTTTTCTTTGCTTCTTCAGGTGAGATAGAGAGGTGGGCAAAGCATAGTAGATAGAGAGTAGGAAGCTCTGTCCCATGGTGGTCATCTGATCTGGATCAAATCGTTTACCTTCTTGGTCCTTTAGGCAACACTGTTGTTAACAGGATTTTAGTGAGCCAGTCTCTAACCTGAGAATGACGAAACAGCAGGCCGGAGACAAAGTGCCAGTAATCAGGTAGCCGGTTAATTAATTAGTTTCATTATGAGGAACAGATTTGCAAATCAAGAATTCTTCTGATCAGAATTCCACCTTGCAGTAGTGAAGGCAGAGATTATATTCATAAATTACAATGGGAAAGGAGGGGGGAAGGTGGATTATAAACGATGTTTTCAGAGGCCAGAGTGGTTTCCCACCGCCAGCCCACAAATCCCAAATACTAAGACACAGGTGTCCTGAAATGGGTTCAAGTCTTTGGGGGTCATTACTTGGTGGGTCAGAGGACCAGATTTCTGTAACCGGAACAGGTTCTACAATCTTTGATTCCCTTCACTTCAGGTAGACAGGCACAAGAATGCCAGTGATTGTGAGCATTGTCAAAATTTGATTATTTTAAGCTGCATTGTGGACTCTGACTCACAAACTGAAAAAGGCGATTCTTGAGAACTGTAAATTATTAGTATATTCATTACACATATCATATAGATTAATATAAAAACCCTAATTCCCTTCTCACTGTGCATCCTGACTCTCTCTAAACTCACTGCATATTTACCTTATTCCAAATCATTGATGAAAATGTTTGTCAGCACAGGGCCAAGCACATACCTGCTGCACTTTCATTGATTCAACAAATATTTATTCAGCACTATAGTATGAATTTTGCAAGATACAATGATAAATGAAGTATGAGCCCTCCCCTCCAGAAGGAAGGTAAAACATAGTCCCAAAGAGTGAGGGTGGAAGATGAGTGTTGATAAGAGCCATAAGAAGTAGAAGTAACACAGGAGTGAGAGAAGGGGGGCAGTGGCACTTCTGGGGGAGGTTTGGTGAAGGAAATTCCTTTTCAAGAAATTTTCCCTTGCACATTGCTAAAACTAATTCTGTTTCATTGTAGGGTTGAATGATCCTTGGAAGTCTGATTTCTCTCCCCCAATAGTCACTGTAATATCCCTGAAAGTCACTGGAGTGTGTTCAAGAGCGATAAATGTTACATGTTTCCTTGGAGAATATTCATCCTTAAAAACCACAATTAAAAACATGAAAAAGAGCAATGACCTGTGTGTATGGCATTAAATATAGCACTCAATTGGCCTATAACTAGCTCAAACTGAAGAAAACAATTCAATTCTCTTTTATCTGGACTAGTCAGATGTTATGGATCAACCTAATATGAGTAGAACCACATACAGTTTACCAATCATATCCGAATAATTGCTTATCCCAAGTATTTTATATACCATTGTTTGTCATAAAGCTAGTAAGAGGATGATCTGGGATTCCCAGGCCTTTCAAATACTAAGATCATAGGATCTCAGATTTAGAGCTGGAAGGGACCTCAAGAGACTACCTCATCCAATCCCTTTGTCTTATAAATGAAGCACCTGAGACCCAGGGAAGTTAAAAGTCTTGTTCCAGGTCACATGAGTCTAAACTTCAGAGGCTGGATTTGAATCTAGGTTCTCTGTCTCCAATACCAAGTGTTCTTTCCACTGTATCAGCTCTAGGCTTCATTTGCTGGTGTCAGAGGTTCTGAAAGTTGTTTTATACTTCAGGAAATACCTTTGTATTTAGTATTCCCAGGACTACTATAATGATTTGCTTGGAAAATTACAGTGCTATGTGAACTGATCCAACCATTCTGCAGAGCAATTTGGAACTATGCCCAAAGGGTTATAAAACTGTGCACACCCTTCCACCCAGCAATACCAATTCTCAGTCTGTATACCAAAGAGATCACAAAAACGGGAAAGGGACCCACATATACAAAAATATTTATAGCAGCTCTCTTTTGTGGTGGCCAAGAATTGGAAATTGAAGGGATGTCCATGAATTGGGGAGTGGCTGAAGAAGTTATGGTATATGAATGTAATGGAATACTATTGTTCCATAAGAAATGATGAGCAAGCAGACTTCAGAAAAACCTGGAAAGATTTACATGAAGTGATGCTGAGTGAAGTGAGCAGAACCAGGAGAACATTGTACACAATAATGGCAACATTGTTTGATGACTAACTTTGATATACTTAGCTCTTCTCAGCAATGCAAGGATCTAAGACAACTCCAAAAGACTCATGATGGAAAATGCTATCCACATCCAGAGAAAGAACTATGGAGTCTGAGTGCAGATTGAAGCATATTATTTGCTCTCTCTCTCACTCTTCTTTTGTTTCATCTAATGGTTTCTCTCATTGGTTCTAATTCTTCTTTATGCCATGACTAATGTGAAAATATGTTTAATATGAATGTATCTTTAGAGCCTATATCAGATTGTATGCTGTCGTGGGGAGGAGGGAGAGGAGAAAGAGTGAGAAAATTTAGAACTCAAAAATCTTATGGAAGTGAATGTTGAAAACTAAAAATTAATTAATTTTAAAAAAAAAAACTGAAATGCTAGAAATGTAATTTTTTTGTTTCCCCTTGAGCTATGCCAAAGTGGTTTCAGATTGATTACTACTATTACAAAAGATGGTTTAATTTATGCTGAAAGGCATGTATAAATATATAGTGAAAATATTCAAGTACAATATTGAATTTTTTAAAAAATAGGGCATTTAATCCCAGATTTGCTACTTATGTATTGTACAAGTCACTTCTACCATTACCTATAACTGAAACAATTGTTGTTGTTGTTGAATCATTTCAGTTGTGTCTAATTCTTTGTGACCCTATTTGGGCTTTTCTTGGCAAAGATACTAGAATGGTTTGCTTTTTCCTTTTCCAGATCAATTTACAGTAGAGAAAACTGAGGCAAACATGGTTAAGTGACTTTTCCAGGGTCACACAGCTAATAAGTGTCTGAGGCTAGATTTGAACTTAGGTCTTTCTGACTCCAGGCCTGGAATTCTATTCACTTCACTATCCTGCTGCCCAACTGAAACAATAAGATGATGTAAATTAAAGTCCCTGAAAATGAAAATCATTCTAAAGACATTTTTCCTTTGCCATTAAGCTGTTGTGTGATGTTAGATAAGTTACATGGTCTCCTGATATTTATCCACGGACCCCTTGGGGAGTCCAAGGACCCTAGGCTATGTACTCCTGCTATAACATATGGGGATCACTTAGGTGAACTACAATAGAATAAGTTGACAATACTGAAACACTCTGAACCACTTAGAAAAGTAGAGCTGCACAAACAGAAAATACCATGAAGACATTTGAAGAGACACCAACATTACTAGAAATCCATGTCTTAAGCTCAAGAGACTGCCTTTTCGTCCCAAACTGGCAGTCCCAGAAGAAAACCTACA